TAGGGTAGTGTAGGTAAGCAACTGAGAAGAGGAAATTTGAGCCAAAACTAACAGAAGGTTCTAGACTGAGCCATGTCGCCACACACGAGATGAATTTGTTGAAGGGCAGCAGAGGCATGGGCATGAGATCAGAGCTCTCTGTTACATTCAAGATCAGAGCTCTCTGTTACATTCAAGAACCTGAACTTTCACTCTGAGTGAATAAAAGACACTCTGAGTAACAAAAAGTGTCATGACCTGATGTGAGTTTTAAATTCATTTTTTTTTGGTAACCAATTGAACACAAGCTACTCAGAAAAGATAGGAAATTCTCACATATGTCAAGACAAGACAAAGAAGCTTGCACAAGAGAGTCATGGGAGGAACAAGTAATAGAGGTCAGATATTGAATACAAGCTAAAGTAGAGTCAGGGATTTGGGGTGGGAGTAAGTCTTCAAGATTTGGGACTCTAACATCTGGAAGCAGAAACACACCTGACCTGAAACTTGCAGGAATAAAGATTGAGTTTGGATTTCACTTATGGACATGTTCACTGTGAAGGTTGCCTTCCATCAAGGAGCCTCAGGAGCACACAGCTGGACAAATTCACTGTAAGTGTAAAAGACTAGGCTCTATTTGCCTTGTAAAATCTTTTCAAATTCCTGTTTTAGTAATTCAGCTAACCACCTCTTGTCATACATAAAAGTGTTTCCTTTATGATCTTTCATGTCCTTGTGTTTGGGTTATAGATGGTAAGAACTGCAATTTCCTATTCATGGATTTTCATTTGATGAATATCCAAACTTCTCCTGACTTTAAAACACAAACCATCTAATTGATGATCAGGATATGACAACTCCTACCTATAATGGATGGCATGTGCCCTCTTCAGTAGGTCCCTTTGTTCACACACATGATGAAGTGTTTGCATCTGAAATGCTCACATATTGTGAAGGTATAATATGTTTTTTTCCCTGAGGAGTAGCTGAGCATTAAAAATAATGTACAGCTTAGCTATGGAGCCCTGAGAACCCGACTTGAGATTTGATCATTGTCTTTGACTTATATGCTTGCTGCTGGGATCCATGCCTGTATTTAAGGACTCATTATATATGAGGTAATATTTTCACATTTTTCCACATTACCAGAAAGCTAGTAGTCTATTAGATAGTGACATAATCTGGGACATTATACACCTCAAGTAAAGTGACTGGGTCAAAACTGGTCTTCTTGTCCCTTCAGCCACTAAATCATTTTCATTCTGTAGTAAGTTTTTTCAGTTTTCATGAGTTTGTAAGCTTTCTGTAGTTTCTGTTGTTGTGGATATCCAGCATTAGCCCATGGTGGTCTTAGAAGATGCCGCATTTTATTTAAGTTTTCTTGTATCTGTAGACACTTGTTTTGTGTCTGAGTATGTGGTCAATTTTGGAGAAAGTTTCATCCAGTTTTGAGAATTATGTATACTCTTTTGTGTTTAGGTGATAGGTTCTGTAAATATCTGTTAGGATAATTTAGTTGATAATGTCAATTAGCAACGGCATTTATCTGTTTAGTTTTTGTCTGGATGACATGTCTATTAGCAAGAGTTGGATACTGAAGTCTTCCACTATTAATGTGTGAGGGCCGATATATAATAAAATTGGGTTCCCTTGTGTTTGGGGCATAGATTGTAAGAATTGCAATTCTGTATCCATGGATTTTTCCTTTGATGAATATGTAATATTCTTCCCTATGTCTTCTGATTAGTTTTGTTTGAAGTTTTTTTTTTTTTTTTTAGCTTTTAAAATGCTTACACCAAGTTCCTTCTTAGATCTATTTACTTGGGATATGTTTTCCAATTCTTTTACCCTTCGAAAATGTTTATCCTTGGTGATAAATTTTGTTTCATAGATGCTATAGAAGGATGATTTCTATTTTGTTAGCCCTTTCTTTCTATTGGGAAATAGAGACTATTGATGTTGAGAGTTATCAACGACCAATGATTATTGAGTCCTATTATTTTGTTGCTATTGTTTCTCCCTATCTATCTGTATATCATCTATCTATCTATCTATCTATCTATCTATCTATCTATCTATCTATCTATCTATCTATCTATCTATC